ATTTTTTTTGGTAGAAATGGGGATTGAACTCAGGCCCTTGTGCCTGCTAGGGAAGCACTTATTCCACTGAGCCATCTCCCTGGCCCCTATTTTCTTTGTAATATTAAAACGATCAGCACCGGGATATGTCAGAGTAGAATATTTTTGGAGTTTTGGCATGAAACAGATCTGAGGCCCAGCCTATCCCTTCATATCCTACTCCTTCATCCCAGCCTTCAGGGACATGTGGAAACACACTCCCCCTGTGGTTCCGGAGAAAGAGCATCACTAGAAAATCGCTAGTGCTTAGAATTCTTCGATCTGAGACTTCAGGCACTTAACTCCTTGGGCTTTGCTTTAAAATGAGGGTAACTATAGCGATGTGGGAGGCTGCGACAGGAGGACTGGTGTGAGTTGGAGGCCAGCCTGGGCTACATAATTGAGACCCTGTCTCAAAACACAACACAAAAAAATGGTTACATGTATGATTGTAATAACAAACAAGATAATGTATATAAAAGAGCCTGGCACAAATGCCTGATCTATGATGTGTGCTTAGAAATGTTAGGTTATTAGAGGTCAAGGAAACAGGGCTAAGGGGGAATGGAGGTGGCGCAGAGGTGGTTGTTACAGCTAATTCTCCCCCACTGTTGTGGGGAGAGACTGGGTACCTGCATCTTTACAGCAATGATTCCTAACGACTACCGTGCACCGTGGTCTGGGTGGGGAGGCCATGATTTGGGAACACAGCCTTCCTCTAAATTGCATCCCAATTTCCCTTCAGCTTTTTTTTTTTTTTAGGACAGGGTCTACAGGGTCTCACTGTGTAGATCAGACTCATAGTGATTGATCCTCTTGGTTTTTTTTTTTTTTTTTTTTTTTTTGGTACCGGGGATTGAACTCAGGACCCTACGCTTGTCAGGCAAGTGCTTATTCTACTGAACTATCTCCCCCAAGCTGGGATTACAGGTGTGCGCCACCACGCACAGTCTCAATTGCCACTTCAGCATGCCCCAGTGGCGAGGCTGGCATAGCAGGCTCCGGGATTGAACTCCTGGTCACTTGGTCACTTCGTCTGCCTAAACAGGTAGGTGCTTTAATCTGCTGAGCTATTTGGCTGGCCCTTCCCCATTCAGCTTTTTTAAAAAAATTTATTTATTTATTTATTTGTGTGTGGCCAGCTCAGCCCACCAGGGGGCGGGGGCTGGCTGGCATGTGGTGCTGGGGGATTGAACCATGGTCCCTGTGCTTTGGCTAAGCTTGTTCTGAGTAGGTGCTTTAGACCACTGAGCCATCTCACCAGCCCCCCCATTCAGCTTTTAACCCTAGTCTTTTTTCTTTCTTTCTTTTTTAAATGTATTTGGTAGAAGATCTCACTATACAGGTGGGACTTATAGTGATCCTTCTGTTTTCAGCCTCCCCAGTGCTGGGATTACAGGCGAGGCACCACCACGCCCGGTCTTGGTGGCCAGCTCAGCGTGCCTGGAGCAGAGCCCGTGTGGAATTGAACCCTGGCCCCCACGCTTGCCTTAGCAGGCACTTAGTCCACTGAGCTATCTTACCAGCTCTGAGTACCTGTTCTGCCAGTTAGAAATTTAGTCTGAGTAGGGGATTTTGAGGTATTACAACAATGCTTAAGATTTATCACGGAAGCTATATCCAAGCACTGTTCTACTTCATCTAATCCTTCCAACTACCCAGTGATACAAGTTCTGCTATTGGGCCGGGGAGATGGCTCAGTGGAATAAGCGCTTCCCTGGCAAGTGCAAGGGCCTGAGTTCAATTCCTGGTACCACACACACAAAAAAAGTTCTGCTATTACCAACCCTATTTTAGAGATGAAAAGATTGAGGTGAAATGAAATTAATTTGGAGGGGGCCTGGGGAGATAGCTTAGTAGAATAAGTGTTTGCCTGGCAAGCTCAGGGTCCTGAGTTCAATCCCCAGTACTGCAAAAAAACAAACTAATTTTGAGAGCCAGCCAAATAGTTTAGCAGATTACAGTGCCTGCAAACAGGCCCAGAGGCCAGGGGTTTGATCCCTGGGCCTGCTGTGCTGGCCCCGCCCCTGGGGCACACTGACAAGGCAATTGAGACTGAGCGTGTTGGCATGTACCTGTAATCCCAGGTCTTGGGAAGCTATAAACAGGTGGATCACTACAAGTCCTATCTAGTAGTGAGACCCTGAACACCTTGTAGACCCTTCTCTAAAATACAAAATAATAATAATAATAATAATGACAATTTGCTTGCCTATCTCCATAGATTAGTAAGTAGCAGTGCCAAAAATTTGAATCCACAGCTTACTTTTTTATTTATTTATTTATTTATTTTTTCTTTTTCTTTTTGGCAGTACTGGGGATTGAACTCATGACCTTGAACTTACCAGGCAAGCACTTATTCTACTGAGCTATCTCCCCAGCCCTACTTTTTTATTTTTCCACTAGGGATTGAATTCAAGATCTTCCCACTGAGCTATATTTCTAGCTGTTTTAAAATATTTTGAGGGCTAGTGATATAGCTCAGTGGCATAAGCACCTGCCTGGCAAGTGCAAGGTTCTAAGTTTGATCCCTAGTACAAAAAAAAAATAAATAAATAAATAAATATTTTGAGACATGGTCTTACTAAGCCATTAAAACTTCCCAGGGCCTGGGAGATAGCTCAACGATGTAAGTGCCTGCCTGGCAAGTGCAAGGTCCTGAGTTCAATACCTGGTATCACACACACACACACACACACACACACATGCACACACACATACACATGCACACACACATACACATGCACATACACACACACACATCAGCCTAGGCAGTGTTTAAACTCCTGCTGTAGCCTCCCCAGTGCTGAAATATAAGCATGTCCCACCCACTACTCTTCTCTTCATATCCTGTTTCTCTCCATGCTTAGGAGGCCTCACAGAATTTTTTTTTTTTTTTCATTTTTGAGACAAAGTCTCACTATGTGGTTCAATCTAGCCTTCAATTCACTTTGTAGCCCAGGCTGGCCTCAAACTTAAAGCAATCCTCCTTCCTCAGCCTCCTGAGTGCTGAGATTTACAGATGGGTGCCACCACACTCCGCTTTAGTCTCACAGAATTTTGAACTCATACGTGGATTTAAAGCTAAACCACTGAGAAGCCCAGTGTGGTGGCATGCCTATAATCCCAGCACTCAGGAGGCTGAGGCAGGAGGATCCCCGTGAATTTGAGGTCAGTTCTGGCCACAGTGAGTTCAAGATCAGCTTGAACTACAGAGTAAGACCCTGTCTAAAATTAAAACAAAACAAAACAACTAACCCCCTGGAGCCACCAATACTCATTTTTCTCTGGACCTTCTTCATCGGCTCCAGGATTAGTCCCTAAGGGGTCATGACCTTCTGACCAAGTACCTAAATGCTTGGAATTCCTGATGTGGTACATTCTATGTATGCTTTATATCTATCATAGCCTTGCTTACAAGCTACCCGGTGTTGCTTTTTTAGTTATGTAATATATATTTCTCTTGTCTCCCCAACTAGACTGTAAACACCTAGAGGACAGAGATGGTATCTTTTTTCTTCCATAACCCTCTCAGTGAGTAGCACCAGGCTGGCACACCATGGGAGCTTATTAAAAGTTGTTGACAGTCTTTGAACAATCCTCCACCCCACCTTGGCCACTCCCCTTTTCCTGGGTGACCAAGCCACCCCCACCTCCCAGCCCTTCCCGCTCACTTTGCTGTTTTCCTCCGGACCCGGCTCCTCCCTACTCCCGCCCCTGCCCAGCATCTTCAGCGTCCCCTAGCGACAAGGCGTCGGCTCCTAGCAACCGCATCCCGGTACCCTGACGACGGCCGCACGTAGGGTACGTCAGCGCGCCGCGGCCCCGCCCCCGTGCCGTTGGCCCCACCTCTCTCTCCCCGCCTCGTCTGCCGCCGCCGCCGCCGCCGCCGCCCGAGACTTCAGCAGAGCAGTTATGGCGGACCCTGCAGCCCCCGCGCCAGCGGCTCCCGCTCCCGCCCAGGCCCCAGCTCCAGAGGCCGTCTCAGCCCGGGCCGAAGCCCCCGCCCCGACCCCTGCTCAGGACCAGGTTCCGGCGCCGGCGCCAGCCTCGGACTCGGCCTCCGCGCCGTCCTCAGACTCTGGCCCCGAAGCCGGCTCGCAGCGCCTGCTCTTCTCCCACGACCTGGTATCCGGTCGTTACCGCGGCTCGGTGCACTTCGGGCTCGTGCGCCTTATCCACGGCGAGGACTCGGACTCCGAGGGCGAGGAGGAGGGCCGCGGCAGCTCGGGCTGCTCGGAGGCCGGGGGCGCGGGCCACGAGGAGGGCCGGGCCAGCCCGCTGCGCCGCGGCTACGTGCGCGTCCAGTGGTACCCGGAGGGCGTCAAGCAGCACGTGAAGGAGACCAAGGTGCGGCCGTGAGGGAGTGCGGGAGGGACGCGGCTGTGTCCGCCGCGGTGCCACTGCAGTGCCACGGTGAGAGCACAGCCTCGGCAGAGGGTGCTCCGTGCACAGTCATTGCGCTAGCCGGCGCCGCTGGCCTCGGACCGGGCCTTGGCTTCCCGGTTTGAGGGGGAGGGAACGTGCAAGCGGTGCTGTGCTGTGGTGACGGCCTCGGGATGGTGGACCGACGCCCGTGGGGACCTCCCCAGCCCTGAGGCGCGTTCAGCATTACACTAGTGCGGCGTTTCGCTGCCCCCCGGAGTTCGGTGCTGCATTGTGCATCCGGAAAGGAAGGCCGTGCCGGGTCCGTGCAGGGAACGAGGGGTTATGGGCATTCCAAAACAAAGATGTGTGAAAGAAGCAAAGGAAACAAAAAACCCTGAGGAGTTCACTAGGTTGCAGAATACATGATGGTGAAGCAACCCAACCCATTTTTGTTTTACCTTGCAGCCCCATTTTAATTGCTGTGGGAACTTTGTGAGTAAAAATCATTAACAGTCGGAGCCACAATATTATTTGTACAGGGGAAGATTGTGCCAGCTTGGATTGGGATTAAGGACTCTTAGGTGTATTTGGATTTCTTGAAAAAAGAAAAAGCACCATGGCTGGAGGAAGCTGACTAGTTTGGAAACCTGCAGGGTTATTCTTGACCAGTGTGAGGCTGTTAAGCAAATATCAGATTTCGTGGTATGTTGGGTTGAGGCTGCTGAATATAGTGATTTTACAAAAAGTGGGGTTTTATCATCCTAAACCTGAAACGCCAAGGTTGGTTCTGTGGCTTGTTTTCATGGGTGTGAATTTCTATCAGTGCTTCACACTCAGAGAGAGAGAGAGAGATAGAGAGAGAGAGAGAGAGAGAGAGAGAGAGAGAGAGAACTCTGTATGTAACACACTTCTCCCCTCTTGCCCTTCTCTTTTAGGAAACCGTTTCTAAGCACAAATCAGGCTTCTACCCTTTCAGGTGCCTGGGAGGTGAAGTCTAATTTCAAGGAAGACACTTTAGAAGTAACCTGGGTTTCTCACACAGGGAGACAAAGGCAACAGAGGAACGGGGCCTCATGCCACATTACAAAAGGGATCTGTTAAGGCTTGGGCAGGACTCCCAAGAAGCTACTATGATCCATTTCCTAATGCAGAAGGTACTGCTGATCCCTCAGGCAGGGTCATTCCCAGCCATAAACCCCCACACACAGAACTCCGCTTCTCGGAGAAATGCAAACCGGGGACTGCTTGAAGAAAATTGTAAGTTCATCTGGAAAATACTATATTTTGTAGTAGAGTGCGTGTTAAAAATTACCGCCTGTATTGTTTTGGGAGATGTTTTTTTCTTTTTGTACTGTGTGTGTACACCCAAATGTCATCTTACTAGCAGATAGTTACTAGTGGATTTCTGGCTTTTAAAAAATCTTTTTCACCACCTCTCCTCTCTAGAGGCTTGTGGCTTTTGAAAGGCTGCTCACTTGGCTCTGGCGTCCTGGTCCTGTGTGCCATGGCCTCTTGCCCTGGAACTCAGGGAGGCAGGCCCAGTGCACTCTGGAAGCTGTCATCTTTATCTGTTGTTCTTGTTCATCATGACTTTGGTGCTTAACTTTGTTTACAGGCGTGTTCTGTCTGCTCCCCACCCCCACCACTTTGAAATCTTATAAAGTTTGACTTAAAATACCTATATTGGAATTAAGTAGTAAATGGCGTCAAGGCATCAGCTTAGATGGATTTTGATTTTTTTTTTTTTTTTTTTTTTTGTGTGTGTGTGTGTGTGTGTGTGTGGCCAGCTCAGCCCACCAGGGGGCGCGGCTGGCTGCCTTGTACTGTGTTTTTAACTTTGTTGTTTTTCTCTAAACCCTTTTTCCTTTTTTTTTTTTTTTTTTTGAGGAACCGGGGATT